AGAGTGATAAGTAAATTTCCTTCTCCAATATTATTTATGTAAGCAATTAAAAGATGTTCTATCTACTTATTTTATTAATAAGAAGTTGGCGTTTAATATAAATTCTTTGTTAGAATCATACATGTTTGAATAGTGCAGTAACTGCTACAATGCAATATTATACCATTTTTCCAGCAGAACATTCTATAATTGCTTAAAAGATATCGAAGGAGGAAGTGTCACTCTGTTCTTCAAAACTACAAATGATTTATTTAACTCTTTTTTCCAGCCTATAATCAGGCAATTGCAGGCCAGGAAAGAAGTTTTCAGAATAGAGGAAAATAGAAAAAAATAAAATAAAAAGTAAATTTCCTCCTCCAATATTATTTATATTAGCAATTGAAAGATGTTCTTTTAAAGTAGTATGACATTTCATTGGTAACTGTTCAAGCATTGTATGACTATTTCAACAAAGATAGAAGATGTGCATCAAAAGCAAACGGTGGGGGCCAACCTTTTATTGATAAAAATAATATAAAATAAGTATATTTCCTAAGTATTCATATTATTTTGTTTATTCCCCGCGTATAGTAAGTTATAGCTATTATGTACAATAATGTCCGGGGATAAAATATAGCAACATATTTTTTGGCAAATGTTTCTTTCTCTTTCTTTCTACTCTTCCAACCTTTTAATGTCTCTTCTTTCATATTTACGGAAGTAACATTGATACGATCCGTAAAATTCAATAATTTAATAACAGAAATATGTTTTACAGATTGTATCAAACATCTCTTGTAAGTGTACATCGCCTTTCCTCACTCTCATATCTTAAGAGCAACTTGGAGATTCGTCAACTCTTATGGATTGTACCAATCGAGGAACAACAGCGAGAACGATATCACCAGAAGAAAGAAGAGGATCCACACTCTGAGGCCGGCGTTCCGCTGGATCGCTTGGCGGATCTGCTCGTTCGCCTCCTTCACGTTCTCCGTCGATCCGACCACCGTCGTCATCAGCCTGTCCAGGTCTTTGTCTTGGTCCAGAACCTTCTCCGTGAAGATCTCTTGAAGCTCAGCAATGTGCACCACCTTGCTCTCAATCTGCTTCACCTCCTCCGTCATGGTGTTCAGCTCGTTGTATAGCTGCTCATTCTCCGACTCGAACATCTGGATGTCCTCCGCTGACAATTCCTCCTCGTACGTCATCATGTTGACGTCGCCGTTGATCTCCTGGATCTTCATCGGACTGGACTCGTTCGAGCCGTTCTTGGTATCATTATCGTCTGCGGGATCGATCGCGTTCAGGGCCGATCTTTTCGTCACCGTCGCTGACGGCTGGTCTGCCTGCAGCCTGGAGATCCTTCGCATCTCCATGGCCTTCTTCACGCGCATCGCCTTCTGCTCCGAGTATATCTTGCAGACGTTCTTCAAGTAGTCCTCTATAAGCAGCAGCATGATCTCGCGATGCTCAATGTTCTGCTGGGTGATCTCCGTCGACGCAGCGATCTCTCGCTTCAAGTCTTTGACTAGCTGCGAGCAGATGCTCATTATCCGCTGTGCACCCAGGTCGATCTCGTCACGCTCCGCATCCGTCATGTGCGGCGCTGCGGACAGATAATTGGAGAAGTTCAGATAGGCCTTGCGGTTCTCCAGCAGAAACTCGCGCAGCTTGGAGATCTGCACGACCACCGTGTGCGTCTTCACGCAGAAGGTGCTCTTGCTCCTGGCCCTCCTCGGTTGGCTCTGTGCTGCCGGTGTACCGAGGTCTCTGTTCCGCAGATTCACTGCCTTCACGCTAGCCTTGAACAACGAACTCACGTCCATCTCTGTGACTCCCTCGATCTCTCAGGAGGCGACTTGTCGAGGCTCCCGTCGAAGTTCTTCCGGCGTGAATAGCAACAGTCTGTAAACAATCAGTATTTCAGGTGTTGATAACAAAAGTTACTTCCAACAAGTGTTGAAATCGTCACGTTAATAGGAAAGTGACACGTTTCATAATTAGCAATCCTACTGAAAAAAATCACGTCACACAGTTGTGTAATTAAAACATGTAAATCACGTAACGGATTGTTCCCCAAATTGGTATATGATTTTTAAATTACATATTTTAAAAAGTCATATAATGATATGTTATTTTTTTCTTCTATTTCTATCATTCAATTCTTTAAAATTCGATAACTAAAATCACATAATGGATGAAATTATTTCTAATATAATTTTCAAATTACATCATTTAAAAAAATTACGCGTACTGATTTGGAACAATTCGTTATGTCATTTACATGTTTTAAAAAACAAGTTAAGAGAAAAAGAGCTACGAGTCGGACATTTTACTTATAAAATTGGTAGAAAAGTAAAAAAAATATCTTAATAAATTAATTGTGAAATTTAATAACATGCCGGCTAACAACAATAAATGTTTCGATCACGATCGGATCATTTTATCAATGTTTACAAAAATGTCTAAACGGTAAAAAAACATAACATAAAGTCGATCGAAAATTGAAAATATACTTCGCATTGAATAACTATATATAATTGTTGGTATCAATAAATTAAGAAGGATCTTCGTCTTGTTAATTAAACTGAACAGTAATATATATAAAATACATACATTAGAATTTGTCAAAAAAAATAAAAACTTATACTATGGACAGTCGATAGCAAATGAAATTATACTTCGCAATGTTAAGACATCTAACTGTTGATATCAATAATTAAAAAATCTTCGTCTTGTTAATAAAAGAACATCAGTGTATGAATATATATTGATGTTCAAAATCAAATATAACACATTACAAATATAACAGCTATAAATATAATAATGTAAGATTATAAAAATGACAGAAAAAATATAATCTGATGAGACAATACGATATTGATAGGTGAGAGAGAGAGAGAAAGTTAAAAATGTACAATTATATTATTATATATAATAATATTATATTATATATGTAAATATCTATCTATTCAATTAAAATAATTAAACTCGTAAAATTAAATAAGAAAAATATTTTTAATAATTGTTGAAAGTTCAGTCTAAAAAAATTAAATAATATGAAAAAAGTATAATAGATGCGAATGATGAAAGAAAGATCGATGTCTTCTATCTTCGACGTTGTTAGACAAATTAAATTTAAAATAATTTTCAGAGAAGGAAAGTAAAGTTGATGTTAGAAAATAGTGGGAAGTGAGATTGAAGAGGAGGGATAGGTAGAAGGAATATAGGAGGGGGGATGTATAGAGAGGAAAGAAAAATAATTATGAGGGAGAAAGGAATTGTATGATCTGTGAGTAGGATTTTAGTAATGTTTTTACATGTTTTAATTACATGATTTCATCATGTAACGTTGTGACATAATTTTTTTCAGTAGGAAACCTTTTAGTAAAAGATTTAAAAAATTCTTTCTGAATCTTTGCTAACTTCACTTTCTTTTTACATGTTATATGTTCAATTATAATTAGCTCTTCTTGATGAAGCTGAAGTAATAAATTGTCTTTTTTTACTTTCAATTATAGTATAGTCTTTAAAACTGTGTCATGAGTTTTCAAAATTCCAATACTGCAACTTTATATAGGATTATCTGAATTTCATCTCTGATCAAAGTTATGGTACTTTTTCATATAAACTATATGTTGACAAATATATGGTTCAAAAATAATAATTATTCAAGGAGCATAAAAGTTACCGCAAGATATTAGTGCAAAATCTATTTATTCTTAGTATATAACGCAGATAATATAACCCAGACAGCAAAATGTCAGACAGTCTTCTAGCAGCTATCGGCAGGTTTGAGCAGAAAATGACGGCAGTCTGCTATTAACTGCGTCCGCATGAGGCTTGTGTTCTATTAACATTGCCTGTTGACATAACATAAAGGCAAATTGTTGGCAGAAACTAAACAGACCCTGTCGACATTATGACGCTAGATTGCTCAGCAAAAACGATGCAGATCCTGCTCTGTCAAATGTCAGCAGAATCTGCTGAGTTTCTATCAACAATCTATTATCAAATTGTGTCAGAGCAGGATCTGCATCATTTCTGCTGACATCCTTGTGCTAGGTGATGTCGACAGAATCTGCTTGATTTCTATAGACAATATACTATCAGATTATACCATAAATCTGCTCTGTTTCTTTCTCCAGTCTGGCATTTACTTCTGCTTGCAGATTCTGTTACGTTTTTTTCTAGCAGTCTGTCAACACTATTATGTACATCTAATTTTGTAACAATTCTGTTATTTTGTTGGCATAATGTGTAGCAGACATTTAAAAAATCTGCTTTCTACAGACTTGGCTAATCTGGGATAAGGATAACTTCCAAACATTTCGACTTCGGATTAGGTCATCTTCAGTATCAGAATAAAAATTGTAAAATATCTATAAATATCTTTAGTCTTATATTATATTTAATGCTACATAAATTTTACATATACTTGTATGATGTTCTTGTAGTTTTATTTTTCAGTACCAGTAGAGTATAGAAAATGTATTGTTTTTCCACAAAAATATATTAGTCTTTTTTAGGATCGATTTCCTTTCATTGCTTCAACATGATAATTTTTTAATTGTCACTTTTCTATTAACACAGTGAAATGTCTAAGATGAAATTAAAGCGTTAAAACTGAAATTTCTTCATGACTTACCGTTCTCTTTCCCTGTTAGCAACTCATTTATGATATTTATGAATGTGCCGATTTTATATCAAATATCGTGACGGTCATGTATCATTTGTAATTATACAGCATGGTGATGTGCCCACGTTTCCTTTTAAAGTAAATTCATAAAATAACAAACGGATATAATCGTCAGTTTTGTAAACACCTGTCACACTGGACACGCATCGAGTCGTTAAGAACAATTTGGAGCAATTTGCGGTGAGGTTAGGTACAGGTACAAACGTGCACTTGCTCTATATTGCTCTAGATGTGCGAAAAATAATTCAATTTTAAGCAAGATAAAAAATGCATGCGTCTTTCCTTTCGAAACCTTGTAAAAGAAAAGATAATCTCTTTTTTTTTACAAACATTTTTTTGAAATTAGAAACTTTTTTTAGAATTTTCTGTGTATGTGAATTTTGAAAGATACTAAGGCTTTTAAGAGAGTTCTCATTTTATAATTCCTGAAAACATAACTTAAATTTTTTTTAGATCTTGTAAGATTTCATCAAAATTGTAGAATGTGAAACCTTAGAATATTT